GCCCGCTTGTTTAAAACTATGTGACATTCCAAACAGTTTGTTTCCGCAGCTTGTTTTTCTGTTTCATTAGCCCGTCTGCGGTCTGCAATATGCCCCTTGCTTGTATCTTGTTCCCTCTAGCCGCGCATCAAAGCAGTGCACAGTTTGGACCCATTGAAACACCTAAAGATGGCCGTCTGTGGCCGAAACATGTTGTGTTGGTGTTAAGTGGTGAATATTTTAATGATGTGAGCTCATCATTTCCTATTCTTTATAGGAGACTTTCAATTCTTAACCCTGTCACTGTAGCTCGAATTTTTTATACAGATTTCATCTACTGTATAATTTATTTTCGTTGCTCACGTGATGTTTGTGTCTCTGCACTGTGCCTTGTCACGTGACGTTATCACAAGTCCATTTAACTTCTCCTGAATTGTGATACTTCTCAATCGCTTATCCAGCGGCTGTTGCCGCTCTTTTCCCAAGGGAAAGGCAGTCGGAGCTTGAAGCTGACCATTTTTTCCAAATATAAAGCATGCTGCACTTTAACTGGGAGATATTACTGTCACGATCTGAGTGATGGACAAGCGCAAGCCACTCTAGGAGGGCAAAGGGAAGGCACACAAAATAAGGTCATCAAATGAAGTCACTGATGTTACAATACCGTGGGTTGCTGACCGTGCAGAAGATCGTCATCAGGGCATGAACTGGCTCAGTGACGTGCGTGTCACAGCAGCACTGGGAGTTTTTGCCCGCTACTAACCTGGGAGTGTCGATCACAATGGCCGAGTCGTCTAAGGCTTGAATTGCCATCGCCCGCTCGAACACTGGAATCCTGGGTTCAAATCCCACTCAAGGCATGGATATCTATTTGTGTTAGGTAGCGGCCTTGCGACGGGCTGATCCCCCGTCCAAGGATTCCTACTGGCTGTCTTAGAATAAGAAACTGAATTGAAAGAAAGCATTTCACGGATGTTCTATGCTCCAAATAGGAGCAAAAGAAGAGGAAGAAGAAGCAGCAGCAACTGGGAGTCGTTAAAATCAGCGCCCGATGCGTCCCAAACGGTGGTCACCACAGTAAATAAAGATGTTTATTTATATTTCAGCGGTTCAAAATCAATGACATTAGAGGCACAAGGATAATTTTTATTCGTACCGTAACATCCAATAAGAAATCGATGTATATATAAAAAATAACAATAAGTAACTAATTCGCCCTCACAGCAATAAGGCCAGCGAAGTGAAGTCCACCATGATTTGGGATGCTGCGATATATCGATTTCTTGCAAAGTATCATTAGAATTAATGATGGATAGGCTACTTCTGTTACATACTAGTATGATTTGATATTTGTCATATTATTTATTTATATATTTACTGATTTGTAATTTATTTGACGAAGCCATCAGTACCTTGAACACCATAGTGTCGACTGACTGAATGCTAGTAAATAGAAGATAGTTTATTGGGACTCTCGTTTATCCGCGCCCTGATTAACCACGGGACATCTTAGAGCCCCTTAGGTGCTGAAGACATAGTAGTCTGTTGACTTTCATTGGACTACATGGCGTATCTCAGGATGTTACTATGTGACAGTAGCCTAAATAAGGCGTTCATATTTTGGTAGTTTATTGAAGCAATGGCGCTCTTCATTACAGGCCCATTCCCACACACGCTTAAGGAAGACAAATGTTACGTGTGTCGCATAGTCCGCGCCTTTTAACTGTGTATTACAAGGACACCTACTGACTCAGTGCGGCCTACCAATTGTATCTCCCTATCTGTCAGCCCGCAAAGTGTGTAGTACCGTTATTGGCCGCCTTCCTGATTCCTGAGGTTCCTTCTTACACTGTCTCCTGCAGTTTCTCTGCACTCTTATACACAACTGTTTATTCACCTCAGCACCGCCCATGAAGACGGATAGCGGGAATATTTCCCGAACCTCGGTACAAGATGGATATGAGGTAAGGTTGCCCCTGTGCACTACACTGTGAAGGCGTATGGGGGAATGCATATATAGAGCCATATTTTCTTGAAATCGGCACTAGTTGGAGGTGAGTGTTCAGCTCCAAGCCCCTGCAGCTTTACCTCGGGGAAAGAACCTCCGGCACCCATTGAATAGGAAGCTGGGTTGGCCCCAGAGCCAGTCTGGATGATGTGTAGAAGAGAAAATTCTTGAGCCTACCGCGACTCGAACCCCGACCCCTCGGTCGTCCAGCCCGTAGCCAGTCGCTATACCGACTACACTATGACAGCTCAAGAGTCTGCGGTAACCATGGTTTAAGAGGCTGGACAGCCCACACAGCTGGTCAGGATGTGTGGAAAATCAAGAAATTATTGGAGGAATCTATCCTCGTAGTCGGTCTTTTCACTGTGTGAGTGTTTTTGTTTGTTCGTCCTTATACAATGCGTTCAGTTAAGGAGGAAACTTCGCAACACCGCTGACCCGGCCCAACATTCCTCACAGATTGCTACTATAACTGCTGATAGCAGCATGAGTCAATAGCGCTGATAAACGCACGCCGTTACAGTTGCAGTCACAACAACAATCTGTGAGGAATATTGGACTGGGTCAACGGTGTTGCGAATTTTCCTCCTTGATTGAACGCTCTGTATAATCCAGGACTCGTGTTCTGCTAAATGACGGAAATACTGTCCTCGACTTGAATTTGTTGGCGGGTACTACAGTTAACTAAATCGTTTACGTAAATTCGTATTCTGTCCGACGTTAAATATTATTTTTTAAATTCGCCTAGTGGGGGGTGGAGTCGAACTGGGTCCACTCGGCACGTCGGCCACTGATTGGCCTATTGTACCTGCCCCGGGTGATTATGATGATGGAGAATTTGATGAAATGAATATTCGTAGGGGAAACCGAAGTACTCGGAGAAAACCTGCCTCAGCGCCACTTTGTCTACCACAAATCCCAGTTGACCAAACCCGGGCTCGAATCCGGGCCGCCGCGGAGGGTAGCCAGCGGCTAACCGCTTAAGCTGTGGCGCGGCCTTCTCAAACTTTGTTCCGCGGAACGCGAAGGATCGGCGGAAACGTCCTCTGATCGCTAATTTTAATTTTACAGAAGTCATAAATAAGTAATGTTATGCCGTTAAGAGAGTTTCTTTGTGTGTGGACATGGTTAACGAAAGAATATGAATAATATTATGCGTAAGACACTTCAATTTAGTTCAGCAATCCTTGGCGCCCTTAACTGATATTGAAGTTAACAATGAGCAGATTTATCGTATATATAATATTTAAGTTCTGTAAGTGTAACTATGCCGGTCACGGTAGCCGAGCAGTCTAAGGCATGTACTGTCTTCGCTCGCTTGGAAATCGGGATCGTGGGTTCGAATCCCACTCAGGGCATGGATGTTTAATTTGTGTGTGTGCGTTTTTCTGTGTTTGTGTGCAAGTAGAGACCTTGCGACGAGCTGATCGCCCGCCCAAGGAGTCCTGCCGAATGTGTAAGATCTAGAAAAACCGAAGTGAACAGATAAGTTCATGGAGGTAGGCCTAGGCCCACTGGGACTGTAGTGCCAAGGGGAAAAAAAAAGTGTAACTATGCAAATAAAGAGCTTTGCGGACCTAATAACTTTACCAAATTTCAATGAAAGAACAACAAGTGCAGAGAAATGTCCTGCGGTATTTCCCAATTACATTCTTTGCTGAAGAGTACAGTCTGCTAGGGTGTGACAAATTATTGTGTGGTGGAAGTTTACCTACGTTTCGGAGGAACGTATTACCTCCATCTTCACGGCAGAAGAATAAACAGAACAAACATAAGACAGCAGGAATCAATGTCCCCCCAAACAATACGATTGGCTATCCTTAATTTATGTAACTTATATAAAGATGAATTGCAGCGTAGTCAGTATAGCGACCGGCTACGGGCTGGACGACTGAGGGGTCGGAGTTCGAGTCCCGGTAGGGTCAAGAATTTTCTCTTCTCAAAATTGTCCAGACTGGCTCTGGGGTCCACTCAACCTCCTATCCAATGCTCACCGAGTGCTCTTTCTTCGGGGGTAAAGCGGCAGGGGCGTGAAGCTGACCACTCACCTCCAACTAGTGCCGAGGTCAAGAAAATGTAGATCTATACATCCACTCCCCCATACTCCTTCTTGGCGTAGCGCTTAATTCGTTGAGGACAGGGACAACTTTACCTTTTATATAAAGATGAAGATAAAATAAATGAATTACTGATAGCTTTACATAAGAACTTCTTAATTACAGCTTAGCTAACTGGCAAAGCCTTCTGCAAACCTCGTACAAATGGAGACAAGAATTTGATTGGCTACCAATTCTGCAGCGTGGAGCAACTAATCTCTCATTTGTCCTGTCAAGGCAATTAGATTCCCCCCCCCTTTCTCTACACTCATAAGGAATCCCCTTCTCCCCACAATTTAGGCTGTGTATGTATACGTGATCAAAATCGTACAGCATCGAGAGTCAAGAGAGGACGAATTAATTTATACATGTTCAATTGCGAAGTAGCTCACATACAGAAGAAAGTGGGAAGGTTAATATGAAAGAAAGTGTTCCTGGCCAGGCAACAGAATAGGTAACGCGACAATATTATAGTGACGATTGTTCTGACAGTGATCAGCTTCTACACGAGTCCTTTTATATTCACACAAAGATTAGAAATTTTCCAGAATTCAGGCATGATTCTTAAGAAAAAGGATATTTTAAAAAATTAACATAGCCACACCCGAAAGACTGCCGGTCTGTACACACACACATTAAACAAGATAACATTCATTTATACGTTATCATTTTAAAGTAAGAAACCCATTTAAAATAGACAAAGGTTGTTTGTGAAGGAGACATTGCAAGGGGCACTGCCATCATACATCACCTCCACTGCCGACAACTGCACGCTAATCTATCTCAACCTTTTGCAACTTTCGCCACGGATAGTACATAGTACATTTCTGTGCATTCCATCCCCTTCGCTTTAACAGTAAACTTTTTGATTCTCCCTCATTTCCTTGCTTAAGAACAAATTACACTTTATTTTGCAGGGTCTGGTCGCAATATCAGGCATCTTCCTTGTGTGAGTCGACGGACTGGAGAGACAGGAGTGTGTATGTTTGCCTTCGCTTGTATGAAGGCAAATGGTACGCACCTAGGAACCTGTATAGACAGATTCTACTTCGGGAGTTGCTGCCAGCTGCAACAGGAAAACGTGTCTTACGTTGAAAACACAGAGGATAACAATGTGTTGCCCGTTACCACGACGACCGAGTCCAAGTATTACTTATCAACTTTCCAGTCGATACAGGACAGTGATAATAAGGTTGAGGACGATGATCAACCTATTGCCAAGCCAATCAAGCCCGTCATATTGCCAACGAAGAAACCTATTGTGCCAGAGAAGAAACCTACATCGAGTTTAACGACCGTAAAACTAACAATGACTGAACCTACTGTGACGAAAGAGAATACGACGTTTACTATCACGACAAAAGAAAGTTCGACAAAACCTAGCGTTAAACCATTTACGACAGACTCTGTTGCAGCGATACAACCTTCGGAAACCACCAGAAAACCTGCTATTTCGACGGCGACTTCTGAGACATCTAGGAGACCAGTGACAGAACCAACTAAACCTCCAAAAACTACGACTCCAAAACCTGTAACACAGACAACGATTATACAATCAACGACTAGAAGGCCAGTGACACAGATAAAGCCATCTGGAGTCACGACGAGGAAACCAGCGACCCAACATACAAATCCATCTGGAACATCCACAAAAAAACCAATATCGTTAGCCGAAACTACTACTAGGAAACCTATAATTCAGACAAGTTCTTCTGCAACAATAGGAAAACCTGCAACAGAACAGACAACGACAAGAAAACCTTCAACGCAGGACACCACACAAAGGATAACAGTACCACTGGAAACTACTACAAGAAAATTTGTAACCCAGACAGACTCAACCACAGCAAAGACTGGGACACAAGCAGCACCCATTGATTACACCACAAGAAAGCCTACAATCCAAATGACACCACATAGGACCACGACAAAAAAACCAGTTACTCAGGCTAAACCTCCCGAAACACCCACAAGAAGACCTGTTACTCAGACTAAACCTCCAGATACAATCACAGTATCTGTGCCTCAAGCGAAACCTGAAGCAACCACAAGAAGACCTGTCACTCAGACTAAACCTCAAGGTACAATCACAGTATCTGTGCCTCAAGCGAAACCTGAAGCAACCACAAGAAGACCTGTCACTCAGACTAAACCTCAAGGTACAATCACAGTATCTGTGCCTCAAGCGAAACCTGAAGCAACCACAAGAAGACCTGTCACTCAGACTAAACCTCAAGGTACAATCACAGTATCTGTGCCTCAAGCGAAACCTGAAGCAACCACAAGAAGACCTCTGCCTCAAACGAAACCTCAAACAACTGAAACAAAACCTGTGATCCACACAACCTCTTCTGTAATCCCTACAAGGGCACCTCCGGTTACCCAACCTAGGCCACCTGCAGTGACCACCACGAAGAAACCTCTACCTACAACAAGTCGGAAACCGACAAAGAGACCAACAATTAAGACAACTGAAAGTCCGGTGGAGACAACGACCACAACGACGCCTGCACCGCCATCGCTGATCACGTGGACAATGCTGCAGGAACCGCCAGGAACAGGTCAGACCGTCAAGTCTACTGAATGCTGATATATCTACATATGTCTTACGCATGCGCATGCGGTATGTAATATATGTTTTAGATATATTTCAGGTGCCAGTATATTGAATTTGTTTGAGTGGGATTAGGGGCAGCAAGCGTAACTGTTTGTTATCACAAACTGTGAAACCAAGTCAAGTATTTCGAGAGATCTCTGATAGCAATGCCTCTTGGTAACGATTAGACGACTACTGAAATTATTCTTAAAAAGGGAGTTTGAGTTCTGGCTACCGGATTTGGGTTTCATGCAGAGTATTTAGGACATTGATATTTCCTGGCCGGTCACGGTAGCCGAGCGGTCTAAGGCATGTAATGTCTTCGCTCGCTCGGAAGCCGGGATCGTGGCTTCGAATCCCGCCCAAGTTATGGATGTTTGGTATGCGTATGTGTTTATTCTATGTTTGTGTTCTCCTGTGTTTAGGCAGAGGCCTTGCGACGAGCTGATCACTCGTCCAAGGAGTCATACCATCTCTAAAATGATCAAAATGAAAAAAAGAAACTCGACACGGTAAAGGTACAAGAGGAACGGATGAAGTAAGTAAGTAAGATATTTCCTGGGATAGACAGGAAGCATGCAGTACTTATATCAGGGAGACGGAAGTGGTCAAGAACCAATGGTGTAAATGGTACTGTATTCCATTGCACGTAATCTGTAGAACAGAGTTTTGCAACAGACGTATATAACGATCGTGGGTTCCGTGTCATTAGTTCGAGAATTCCCTGTGTTAATGAAGTCATTACTCTGTTTTCATCTCAGTAAGCGCAACCGACCTGCGCCCGCTACAGTGACGTCTGCTAATTAATGCAGAGATAATGCATCAGAAAGAAACAAACTAACATCCGGTAATTGTGTAATTATTCACCAACAGAGGCGACCACTGCGACCACCACATCAGACGGCTGGATCCAGATACCAGTAACCACGCACCCGCCATCTGTTGATAGCACTTCGAATCTAGGTAAGCGGGTAGACTGTCGTCATGTACGTCTTACGTAAAGTAGGCAACCTCAGGGAAGAAAATTACTGAATTCAACGAAATTATAGCATGAAGATTTTAGTTGGCATCGTATATTAAAATTGAGCCTAGTAAAAATCGAAGAATCATGCAACAATCTATGCCATTATCCAATGGTTACATATTCTCAGAGATGGTTCAGAAGTTAGAAAGATGGATGCATTGTGTTATGGTTACAGTTTATATACAAGCGTACAGTTTTGGAGCAAACCATTTTGTTTTGTGCTAACCGATCTTAAACTGTTAGAAAATGGAAACGAAACATTGATAGACATGGTTTAGTAAAGCTCCGACCTTGAAAATTCCGATCTATAAAACGCGACTAAGAAATTATGATTATCAATATTCTTGAATATGAGTTTCGTTAGCGGTAGCATGGTTCGTTGGGTCACTATGCTACAAGCTAGAAGGTCACGGGTTCGATTCCTTTTGAGGTGATTTGATTTTTCAATTGACCCAATCCTTCCAGCCGCTCTATGGCCCTGAGGTCGACTCAGCCTCTAACAGAAATGAATACAAGGGATCTTCCTAGGGGCAAAGGGCGGCCGGTGCTTAAGGCTGACAACTTCACCTCCATCTGCTAGCCGAGTATCTGGAAAATGTGGGAACCTCGACGTCTCACAACCCTATGGGCCTCCACGGTCTGTTACAAGGATAATTTTACCCTTACTTTTATGAATTTCGTTATAAATTTAAAAAGGCATTTTTAGCTTCCTTACTGTTTAGATTTGTCTTGGCATATAGTACTTTAGGTTTATAATAGACTCGACAAATTCATTACTTTAGAATTATATGGGCCACTTTACTTATAATATTCCATATTATCAGCTGTAATGTAGGGCTGTTTTACCCGTATTCTTCCCTGGATGCAGCAATTAGTAATGTAGACCAAAGGAGAAGAGGCTACACATACATGACGTTGACAAATGAAAATTCTTGGTCTTATGAGTCGAGGCAGCTGACGGATTAAAGAGCTGAGACTGGCAACCGGGCGGCTTGAATTCCAGGTACATATTCTCCCTCTGAACTGGAAAACAAACTGTGATAAGTGGCATGACAAGAAACGAAGTACCAAATGGATTAAAGCGCCTTCCCAGATGGAGGTTCTTATTGGGGCGTATGAGACCATCTTGCTTTTCGTGTTGCCCTCCAAATTGCTGCGTTTTCTATGCCGTCTATGTCATATCGAAGGAAAGTAGGCCATTAGTTCTTTCCAGAATTTCTGTTCTTTAAATGAGATTAGATTTATTGTCAGCCGTGAATTTCATTGTAGCTGCTAAGGAAACAGAGGTTCCAAGTTCAAGGATTTCACGTTCTTACCGACGACAGTGTGACTCTTCTCTGTAGTCATAGAACGTCATTCTGTCCTCTGCACGTCACAATTATTTATTTATGCACATTCACGGAATGAGTAATTTTGATGAAATTTCGTATTCATCGCATTATAATACCACTGGCCTCTCTGACGTAGGAACATCGACCTCAAGATTCCCGGATACGCCGCCAGATGTCACCACTGCACCACCACCTATAATTACTACCACACCAACAACTAGTACGACGACGAAGTTGCGACCGGAAATTACGATTTCGACAACCTTTGTCCCGGAAGTGGCAAGTGAAGACGCCTTGGCGGCGAACACCACACTGGATATTGATCTCAACACCACCGACTTTAGGCAAGGTAAGAATAGACTAAGCTTGAATGTGCACTTCATTCGAAGTGTAGGATTGTTGAAGGGTTAAAATAGAGGAGTATGCATAATAGATCACTATAGGTCGCGGTGAAAGGGCCACCAGTTAGGCCGCTCCTTATGTATGTGTCTATGTATGTATGTATGTATTATATCTGATTGGACCGCTTTCATAATAATGCCTTTGTATTAGGCCATTGGCCAGTGAAGAGCTCTGGTTAATCATCGCTCTCTGGAGACTTATGGAGGAATAGAGGTACAGCACCATCATTCTTAACCCCCCCAGAGAAAGAACCCCAGGTACCATTTGGATAGGAGGCTGGGTAGGCCCAGTGCTGGTCTGGAAGCTGTGGAGTAGAGAAAAACCTCTTTCTCCCCCCGGAATCGAACTCCTGCTATCCAGCCCTTAGCCCTCACTATACCGACAGAGGTAACCCAGCTGCTTCTGGTTAGTCAGTTATAAAAATAAAATTTAGTAACCACTTCTCATCAAAATTTTGCAGTGCGCGTAATGTGAGTGCCATTCAACAGACCCGATAGTGTGAACGTAGCGCAGCCGCTGCTGCCGCATCCACGGGATACGCGACGTCACGCAGTGTACGATGCAATTATAACCTGCAGCAGAGGCAGACTTAGAGAACCGCCGCGAGATACCAATCAAGTTGGCTTCACCGGCTACAATTCCGAATTTTATTCTGGAGATGGGCGTTTCAGATCTCGGATGGGATATCGTTTATCCTGCATGAGGCCTTTCGTGCTTTTCTCAGTCTCTCCAAGCACATTCCGAGGTAGTGCCCCAAATTAAGTCAAGACCATTTCCTTCTAGATCTATTCCAAATATTTATTTACTATCGTCATAATTTCGACACTATGCAGCCGTAGCTGCTGATAGCATCACTAAATAAACGAAAAATAAATAAACTTTAGTATATCTTGGTTTATTCTGTAGTTTTATTGTGGAAAACCGCCGCGTAATTCTAATGCATGTTTCTCTATACGCTCATCTTACAAGTGGGAAACAGGGGTTTTCGTGATGACTGTGGTTGTTTGTAAGTCAAACGGTCTTCTAATAGGAGCCGGGTTAGCGTAGTCGGTATAGCTGGACGACCGAGGGGTCGGTGTTCAATTCCCGGTGGGGGTAAAAATTTTCATTTCTCCACGTCGTCCAGACCGGCTCTGGGGTCCACCCAGCCTCCTATTCAATAGGACCATGTAATGAAGCTGACCACTCATCTCCAACCAGTGCCGAAGTCAAGAAAATAAATCCATTTCCCATACGCCTTGTTGGCGTAATGCTTAATTATTTAAGCACAGGGACAACTCTGTCTTTACCTTACGGTCTTCTAATTATGTTGAGGGGATGTAGCTCAGTCAGTAAAATGACTGGATAAACAGAATTCAATCGATTACTGGAATATGGATCTCTCTTTTCGCCGTCATGCTCAGATCGGCTCTGGGACACACCCAGCCTCCTGTTTAATGAGTGCTCGGAAATTCTCCTCACTTCGTATAGCGGTCGTTTCGTGAAATCACTCCCCCTCCCCGCTCTTATATACGTGGTGGTGCTTGGCACATAATCACAACGCATGTTAACCTTCATCTTTATTAAGTGTGACGTTAAAAGATTGGATTTGATATTCTCGCAGCTGTGACTGTAAAGTGTACGGTCATCTTGGTTGTAACGACGTGTAATTAGGAAAACTTCCATTCTTTTCAGAAAAGACGCCTTCGTCTTCGACCTCGACAATGGAGGCGCTATATTTCTCCGAAACTTTGATCTCTTTCGAAACTACTCAAAGTTACGAGCCAGAAGACAATTTTTTTAATGAAATAAAGAGTTTACATTACATTTTTGCTTATTTACTGAATCACGTCGGTCCCTAATTGATGCTGTCACAGTTGCATGGCGCAGATAAAGATGAAAACCTCGCCTACTGTTAACGTATTTATTTTTAAGAATTGAGAACATGCGTTCTTGCTCTGATTGTGCTGTCTTCTAGTGGTAACACCTTGCTATATGCTGATCTGCATGCAGGAGCGAGTTCTGCATGTCTGAATTATGAGTTAGTTACAGTCAGTTGTTACTGCAGTGGAAGAAATTGACACACGTTCGTTAATTACCCTATCATTCTTAAGTTATTTAATTACGCTTTGCAAACTACAAAGTTACGTAACGATGAATAATAAGACAGGTCTGTATGTGTGACAAAATAGAAACAAGAATTGAAGGAGAATCAGCATGATAAATTTATATCCTGGCACTCTTCTTTACGGGCTGAGGGAAATCATGAATCTTGAATTAGAATGGATTCTTCGACCACGAATTAAGCCGAACAAAACCAGACCCTTCATTGCTGATCCAACCTGCTCGATAAGAGATTTATCAAATTAAACGACGAACATTATGTGCAACAAGGTGATCGAAGGGTTAAAATATCCTGAACAGATCTACTTCTGCATCGAACCAGGGTCCAGAAACATTGACCTCATCAGATGGTTCCAAGGCTAGCTGCCAGGTGGCTGCATCGTTCCACAACAGTCGGCATTGCTATCGCTCCAGTTAACCTAAACATTCTGTTAAGACTAATCGAAGAATACCGTAATTACGCATGTATAGGCCGCGTGCGTGTATATGCCGCAGCACAATTTTCAGACAAATTATAGAAAAAATAATTTTCTTGGAATATTATTTCAGGAGTAGAAATTATTCCGAAATTTGGCAACGTTTAACATTCCTAAGTTCGCAACTAGCGAAAATAACTCGAATATAAGCCGCACCCCAGTTTTCCTCTTGAATTTTTGACAAAAAATGTGCGGCCTATACATGCGTAAATACGGTAATTGTTCTTCTGTTGAAATCAACGTGTTTGTCTTTGTTTGACAAATAAGCCGGTACTTAGATATTTATTATTATTTGTTGGAAAGTGTTATTCTGTCTCGGAGCCACGGCAGCGGGTTTTGAACAGTGGACAATCTAAATCACAAAATGACACAGCAGGTCTACATGAGATGTGAGGTCTTCACAGTAGTGATGGATAATGTGGTATTCTGACTTTTGACACCATATAATCTGGTACGGACCTCCTCTGTGGTCCAGTGGTCAGAGCTAATGGCTACAGAGCCGGAGGTACCGGGTTCGATTCCCGGCACTACCAGATTTTCTGAGAAGTAGTGGCTCTGTAACGGGATCCACTCAGCCTCGCGAGGATAATTGAACTATTTCAAGGAAATAGCGGCTCCGGCCTAGAAAACCGAAATTATCGGCCGTGGGGATTCGTTGCACTGACCACGCGATACCCTCTATCCGCTAAAGTTGGCACTAACTTCGCCGACAAGCGGTGGTCGCTCGGTCGGTATAGTTCGCTTGCGGACTACAGGCCACTGAGTAAAAAACTGTGGTACGTGATTGCCGACGTTTAGTAGGAACATACTGCCCTGAAGACAGAAACAGTCTGTTGGTACCCGGATTTTATTTTTCTATAACGTCTTTAGCCTTGCTCTCATTCTCGATTTTAGCCTCAAAGTCGAATCATATTTGGTGCAATGCATCGGCATTGTCTTATGACAAGTTTCTCGTTATGTGTAGCGCCTGGTGCCGATGTATAGGTTGTACGGTGTTGTAGTTCAGATGACCAGAATACTGATCATAATAACAGACTGAATAATGCGATTTTTGATGCATTAGAGTAGATATTAGAATGGGAATTTCTGGCTTGTTCAGAGATATTATTGAGAAGTTTATCTGGAGACATCGAGCAGAAAAAGAAAAGTTTTTAGAACATGACGTCTCTTGCTCTTGAGTGTTGGAAGGTACCGTTCAGTTATTCCAAACAACACCTCTTACCGATCTCAGTAGCCAGGTACTCACTGCCTGTGACAGCTCGGACTCTGTCATCACGGATTCGAATCATGTACCAGGCGTGAGTTTGCATTCCGTTATGCGGGTTGAGGTCTGGTGATAAGCTGACTCTTTGTCCAAGAAATTTTGCCAATATCCAACCCACTAACTTAAATCTGCATACTTTGCTAACATGAGCGCCAACTTGTACTCCAGTTTGTAATACACATTTTCCAAATGCGTGGATTGCAATTAACGTTCTGCGTTTGTCTTCATATTCTTTGATTACAAATAGAAACACATATCTGGCTGAGGGCCGGTCACGGTAGCCGAACGATCTAAGGCATGTACTGCTTTCGCTCGCTCGGAAGCCGGGGTCGTGGGTTCGAATCCCTCTCAGTTCATGGATATTTAGTGTTTGTATGTGTGTTTCTTTCTGTGTTCGTGTACAGGTAGAGACCTTGCGACGAGCTGATGGCCCTCACAATGAGTCCTACCGAATGTCTAAAATCTAGTAAACCGAAGTGAAACAGAGTTTCATGGAGGTAGGCCAAGGCCCATTTTGGGGCTGTAGCGCCAAAGGGAAATTTGGCTGAGGTAATCACGTTGGCTTTATAGTTAATAATGAACTAATGTTCCTTATATTTATAGAAACGGGCTACGGGGTGGATGGTCTGGGTTCGATTCCCGGCAGGAGCCAGAGATTTTTCTCCCCTTCACAGCGTCCAGACCAGCTCTGAGCTCACTCAGCCTCCTATCGAATGGGTACCGGGAGATCTTTCCACAGGAGTAAAGCTGCCGGAGCGTGAAACTGACAACTTGCCTCCATGTAGTGCCGAGGTCAAGAAAATGTGCATCTATACATCCACTCCCTCATTTGTTTTAGTGGTGTGGTGCTCAATTATTTAAGCACATTGACAACTTCACCTTTGCTTTAGGGGCACGCGGTAGTGTAGTTGGTTGAGTATGCTACAAGTCGCGAGGTCGCGGGTTAGATTCCCGATTAGATAACTGGACTTTTTGCACTTGACGTAATCCTTCCAGCCGCACTATGATCCTCGGGTCTCCTCATCCTCTAACAGAAATGGTTAACAGAAATTTTCCTGGGGCTAAAGGGCGGCCGGCGCGTAAGGCTGACAACCTCACCGCCATCTGTGAGCCGGTTGTCTAGAAAATGTTGGAGCCTCGACGTCTTACAACCTTATGGGTCTCCACAGCTCGTTACAGGATAGCTTTACCGTTTTCTTTTATTAGGAGTACCTTTTCTATACACCTAAAACCATATTTCCTTTGTTTAAATTACCACTGATTTCGTACAACGAAAAAATTTTCCCGTTTAAGAAAAAGGAGGCGTAAGCGAAGCTTGTTTTCATGTCTGTCACTGAGAAGCTAGAGAGGAAACGATAGAAATTCGACGAAGCGAGCGGATATTAAACCATTCGTTACACGGTAAATGGGATTGGTGTAGCCGGTCAGCGTACCAGCAAGGCCAGTGGCATGGTGTTATGACTTACTGCTCTGCTGTAGGAGCATCTCGACAATGACGTGGCGCCAAACCCGAAAACCAGGAGCCGCAAAATTGTGACGTGGCCCGGCAAGTGTCGGCAGTGTTTGTGAAGGCACACTGATACAGGTTGAGACTTTACTTAGCACTGCTGGACGTTGTCGCGGAAATTCGCAAGTCTGCATCGCATCGCGCAGTCCTGCCTCAGAGGCCCACCGGAACAGTTTATTCAGGCTTGGTGATCTTCCTCCTCCGCTGTCTGGGCATGGCCTTTCCTTTCGAATTCATGTAGTTCATCTGAATGGTAGTAGTTTAATGACTCCCATGCCTCGCGAAGGGATGAGGACAGCTTCCATTAACACGACACTGCTCATCCTTTCAGTGTGCGGCCGCCGACTGTTTCCTGAATCCCGTGTCGTGGGTGGAGAAAAATCTTCGTTTGGCAAGTGGCCATGGCAGGTGGGTACTAATTTCTGGTTTCCTTTATACACATTGCTTCGTACTGAATGGGCTCTATTACAATTTTTCTCAATAGCAAGTTCACGGCTGAATTGATGCCGGTTTCCAATTTGCAGTTAGCGTTATATGACATATGAAATGCCTTACATTTTTGGTTTCCTTCTATTTTCTCCTCTTCTAGCGATTAAATGGTTTGTGTTGAACATTGCTATACTTCTTCTTTTCTCTTTTGAGTTGGCTAATGGTGTGATCATCAGAATTATAATAAAGAGGAGACGGAGTTTCGGGTCGGCCATTGTATCCCTAAGAAATGGAGGGACAGAGCCAGGTTATGAACTCTAAGTCCTTGGGAGACCGCAATGACTGATAGATGAAATTATCGACGATTTAAAAAGTTGTGATAAAAAAATCGACTTTGAATAGTCTGCGTGCTTATGATATATTCTGTTTTATCGACACAATACATAACCGTTTAAAGCCCAGTGATTCTAACATGTATCGCCTGCTTTAACATAGGGGGGCACGCTGTAGCGTAGTTGGTTGAGGCACTGTGCTACAAGCCGGAAGGTCACGGGCTCGATTCCCGATGAGGTCACGGGATTTTCAGTTTACTTAATCCTTATAGCTACACTATTGGTCTGGGGTCGACTCAGCCTCTAAAAGAAATAAGTACCAGCAGTCTTCCTGGCGGCCGGCAGGCGCGTAAGGCTGACAAATTTACCGCAATATGTCAGCCGATTGTCTAGAAAATATGAGAGCCTCGACATCTCACAACCCTATGGGCCTCCTAGGTCTGTTGCAGAGATAACTTTGCTTTAAGATACTAAAACTCTGCAGTATTCCCACAGAATATATTTGCATATTCCACATTGTTCTCAAACAAACAGCGATCGTTTACCTAAAAAGTATTAGCCGATTGATTGTATAGCGGAGACCTAATGTGTTTTCTATGAGGTATGAATTGTATATTCCAGAAGGAAAGAGACCACTGGGAAGACCAAGGCGTAGGTGGGCGGACAATATTAAAATGGATCTTAGAGAGATAGAATGGGATGGTATGGATTGGATTGATCTGGCTCAGGATAGGGACCAGTGGAGGGCTCTTGTGAGCACGGTAATGAACATTCGGGTTACATAGAATGCCGGGAAATTCTTGAGTAGCTGCAGAATTGGTGGCTCTTCAAGAAGGGCTCAGTGCCGTGAGTAAGTACGAATTGTATTTTTATGTACATATTACTTGGAAGAAATTCAGTCTTAAATTTTTAATATTTGTTTTATCAGTTAACTTCTTTAGACGTGCTAGTATGAATTGATTTATAGACTAACGTTAATAGAGTACAAAGTAAGACTGCAAAGCCTAGGTCTTTGTTACAGTCTAATCGGTCAATAAATATTAAACTGTTGAGAACTGCTGGTCTGGTGTTCTGTTACCTCCTCCGAGGACACTGAGTAAGGAGACCCAGAGATCTGTTAAGTCAAGAAATCTTTGTTATTGTTTTCACTATTGGGATACTGTCACAGTCAAATGTAGGCTCACTTTAAAACTAATGTGCCCCTGCAGAAAAATCTGCCTACAATTTCAAGGACTGTTTCTGTTGTTCATGATGGTTACCTATATTATCATCCAAATTTTATGAGGGAGAATTATTTCTTTCATCTTTTCACATACACCTCTCCTGCATTTGTGTTCTTCCCTTCTTTCTCCAGTGTTTCCCCCCCCCATCTTTAGTCCATGTCATCATTTCCTTCCTCCTTCCTTTTAGTTAAAACAGCTCCCTCACCTCTGTTTCTTCTGTCCTTTTATCCACTTTGTACCTTCATCTCATTCCCTCTTTTCTCCCTTATCTCACAATGGCTGGATATAGTCTGGGGTTTCCTTGTCTTGCCTTGCTTTCATGCTGGTATTTTACTCAGCTTATTCGACCCTGAAGACGGAGGCGATATTTTCCTCCGAAACGTCGTTTGACTTTCAATGGACTCTTCGATTTCATTTTTGTCACCACCCCACTGTTACCAGATCCAGATTTCGTCAAGAACGCCTTGTTACCACTAGCCCAATGCATTTTTTACAGAGGATGTAAGTGGGAAATAAGTTGGATTTGACACCAAATCCCTGAAAATGGCAGCAAAATTGACAGTTTTCTTGGCTTTTCCCTCCAAGAGGAAAATCTTATGCCTTTACCAATTTGTACTACGATGTGCTGTTTGGGAGAAACCGTGGGGCAGATGGACTTGATGATTGTGGGTATGTATGCAGGTTATGGTCATGGAGACTGGGAGAGTGTCTAGACTACAGAGTGGGTGATTCAGGAATAGAGGTTAGATTCTCAGCAGATTCTACAATGTTCAGATTATGCAGACTTTGGCCCCATCGTTCCCCTGTCCAGTGGGTGCTCTCCCAGTGGCATTGAGGAAAATATCTGGCTTACAACTTTCCAAGATTAAATCGTGTACCATGGAATTAGTAATTTCAGCTCACTCCGCTTGCATTTGGTTTGAACTATTAAACCAACAGTCTTTATTATGTCCATTATGTCCTGTACATTTCTCAGATTCTTAATAATGAGATGATACTTTAAAATTGATAACAAATACTTTAATTCACGTTCTTCATTAATTCTGCTTCAAAATTATCCTCTTTCTATCAGGTACTACTTCTCTGTGCATGATAATTTCCTGATGGTTATTATTTATTAATATTCTTGGTACACTACACAGGCTGTGGTGATCTGATACTCTTCCAACATTCTACTCATAATCTGATCTGAAAATGAAATCTAATATATTTCTTATATTTCATGTATGGTGTTGAACTTATAAAATGTATACTGAAACTGTAGTTTCAAGATATCTGGTCATTTCAGACTTATATTGATATAAAAAATTACACCTCAGTGACAAGGTAATCACTCAGTAGTTCTGCCTTTTGCCAACAGATCTCTCTACGACAATGGCGCACCTCCACATATCTGCACAAATGCGGCGCTGCACTCCTCAACGAGAACTGGGCCATCACAGCGGCGCACTGTGTTGAGAAGTGAGTATACAACTGACATATGGCATATTGGCCTACCTACAAACAAATTATTTCTTTTCTTCAATACAGTCCTTTGTAATTATATGTTTTTAACAGGTGTGACACTTATCAGAGTCAATTTTGATGAATTTGATTTCCTAACTTTTGTCAGCTGTCTTTGGTCAAGATGTGCAGCCCTGTTATTTTATGGAGGCCACAGAAATTTGTCTCCCCAAGAACTGGGTAGTCTCACAAACCTGTGCTTGCAGTGTGTGTTGGTCAGACTGCTATGAGAGTTGCTGAGGTCAACTGCATTACTGTATGTGTATTGTTAAGGCGTATGTGACCGATTCTTTCCCATACAAGATGAATTTAATCCATAGTCTTACATCCTGCTTCATTAAGATCTATTTTAGTATTATTTTCTCACCTCTGCCTAGGTCTGATAGTGATCTCTCACATTTCAGTTTTCTGACAAGCTACGTGTACATTTCTATTTCCTCCATGTGTGCTACATGCTATGCCCATTTCATCTTCATCCTAATAATATTTGAGGGGAGTACAAATTCTGAAGCTCCTGAATATGCAGTTTTCTCCAGCTTCCTCCCCCTTCCCTTCTCTTAGGTTCAGACATTCTTCTTAACACCCTTTTCTCAAACCCTAACAATCTCATTTTAAGATGACTAAGTTTCAGATCCATATAAAATAACAAGTTTAATTGAAGAGCTCTGTTTTCTGGGATATAACGCCATGTAGTCCATTGAAAGTCAAGTGATGTTTTGGAGGGCCATGATACCTCCATCTTCAGGGTAAAAGAATAACTCAAGCAAGAAAACAGCATAAAGCAAATGGCAAGTAGAGCTTTGATGCCTTGTTTGCTACCTGCTTCATGCTGGTTTCTTGCTTGGCTTATTATTCAACCTGACGGTGGAGGCGACACATTCCTCCTAAATGTCCCATAACTTTCCATGGACTACACAGTGTTATACTCCAGATGGGAAAAATCTTCATAACTACTGCATTGAGAACCCCAAATCTCACAACAGGTAAAACAATAGTTGTTATATTTTAATCTTCATATTTTTATAGAGGAGAAAGAAAGACCAAATTTCTGAGCTGAATAATAGGAATCATCCCCCAAATTCAGTCTGGTCTTTGATTTCTTTGTGAATGATATTTTGAATCATCAATGCTCATTGAATTTGGATTTTGTCACATTTTTAAGGGATTCATTCAGCACTTTTACATTATGATTCTGCCCTAAATTCATGTGATAAAAATGCATGAACATACACATGTATTTCTAATTTTTCTCTGCATATGCTTCTTGTCCAACCTCTTTAGTAGTGTCTAATAGAGTATGTATATTTCTTCATGATATTATGGCCTATATGTTTTCACCCAAAAAGTTAGTATCAGCATACGCCAGAAGCAGATGTGTTGCATTCAGGTAAAATTCCTTCTCAGTTTTTGGACATTGCTAATGATTCTAGGGAGAAGTTTAGAAGCAACAACTGTAAAGCATCTCCTTGTTTTGAATTATTCTTTCAAGGAAATCTGTTGGATGGATATTTACATACATGGACTTTACTGTAGCTAGCACAAATTTCAGCTTCATTTAGCAAAGAGGAAATAAATGACGAAGAAACAGTTTGCCAACTTATGCACTCATTCTATCCTAAAGAATAAAATAAGGCATGCCAGTGATGTGCAGATTTATGTATTTTGGGTGCACAAATCAGCTATTTCTTTTGCCACTATATTTCACCATCCAAACCTCTCAATAAATTTGGAAAATATTTTGTATGGGAAAAATTATGCAAATGTAAATAGCTATTTCTTCTAATTTCTTAATAGTGTGCATAATTAGACCATGTTGGGTGGGTCCCTGTCACCACGGCATGGCGCATCCTCAGGTTGCGGATGGAGGAGACACACTCCAGTTTTGGAGGGAAGCTGCGAATATATTGAATAAGCAGTTGCGGACAGCCGACAAGGGGTGGCCCTCCAGCTTTGGGGTTGGTCATGGGGCTAACAACTCCTCACCGTAAAGAAGAACTGTGTTATGAAAATTAACACAAAGTCTTGGACCTGGACAAATTATTTGGATAAACGACCTAAGCTAATGAAAATGGATATGAGATTTGGCACTTGGAATGTACAAAGTTTGTATAGGGCAGGTTCGCTCATGGCAGTGGCAGAAGAAATCTTAAAATATAAGTTAGATTTAGTGGGAGTACAGGAGGTCAGATGGGATGGAGGTGGCATCGCACCAGAAGGAGACTATACATTTTTCTATGGAAAGGGAAAAGAGAATCATGAATTAGGTACAGGTTTCTTCGTACATAAGAGAAACATATCAGCAGTTAAGAGGGTAGAATTCGTTAGCGATAGGATATCACATATAATACTAAAAGGTCGCTGGTGTGATATGATTGTTATGAATGTTCATGCCCCAACAGAAGATAAGATTGATGACATAAAGGATAGATTCTATGAGGAACTAGAACATGTATTTGATAAATTCCCAAAGTACCCTATGAAAATTTTGTTAGGAGATTTCAATGCCAAAGTAGGGATGGAAGACATTTTCAAACCAACAATTGGGAATGAGAGTTTGCATGAAGTTAGTAATGATAATGGAGTTAGAGTTGTAAACTTTGCCACATCAAAAAGTCTTACTGTCAAAAGTACAATGTTCCCACATCGTAACATCCATAAATTTACTTGGACATCTCCTGATGGGAAGATACACAATCAAATAGACCATATTTTGATAAATATGAGATGGCACTCAAGTATACTTGATGTCCGATCATTCAGGGCAGCAGATTATGATACTGACCACCACCTGGTGGTGGCAAAGTTTAGGGAAAGACTGGCAGTGGGCAAACAAACAACACACAGAGTTCGTATGGAGAGGTACAATCTCAAGAAATTAAATGAGGTAGAGAGTAAAGGGCAGTATTGTGTTGAAATCTCAAATAGCTTCACAGCTTTGGAAAACTTGGAAACTGAGGTGGATGCTTGGGAAACTATTAGAGAGAATATAAAAATGTCTGCCAAAGAGAAGTCTAGGTTATTGTGAACCAAAGAAGCATAAGCCATGGTTTGATGAAGGATGCTCAAAATTATTAGATCAAAGAAAGCAGGCCAAATTGCAATGGTTACAGGATCCAAGTGAAATACATAGGGATAATCTGAACAATATAAGATGCGAAACCAGCAGGCATTTCAAGAACAAAAAGAGGGAATATCTGAAAGACAAAATTGATGAGCTTGCAATGAACAGTAAGAACAAGAATATTAGAGGCCTGTATAGAGGAATAAATTACTTTAAGAGGGGTTACCAGCCTAGCAGTAGCTTAGTGAAGGGTGAGAATGGTGATCTGCTTGCAGATTCCCACAACATTTTGAATAGGTGGAGAAACTACTTCTCTCAGTTATTAAATGTACATAGGGTCAGTGCTTTTAGGCAGACAGAAATCCATACAGCTGAGCCGTTAATACCTGATCCTAGCCCTTTTCAGGTTGGCATTGCTATTGCAAAATTGTAACGGTATAAATCGCCAGGTAGTGATCAAATTCCGGCAGAACTTATTCAAGCAGGAGGAGAAATATTATGTTCTTAGATCTACAATCTAATTACTTCTATTTGGCATAAGGAAAATTTGCCTGATCAGTGGAAGGGGTCTATTATTGTACCAGTTCACAAGAAGGGTGATAGAACTGACTGTAGTAATTATCGGGGATATCACTTCTATCAACTTCATATAAAATTTTGTCCAATATTCTTCTTTCAAGGTTAAGTCCATATATAGGTGAAATTATCGGGGATCATCAGTGTGGGTTTCGACATAACAGATCAACTACACATCAGATCTTTTGCATTCGTCAGATATTGGAGAAAAAATGGGAGTACGATGAGACAGTACATCAGCTATTCATGGACTTCAAGAAAGCCTACGATTCAGTTAGGAGGGAAGTATTGTACAATATTCTGACAGAGTTTGGGATACCCATGAAACTAGTTAAGTTGATTAAAATGCGTTTAAACGAAACATATAGTAAAGTCCATGTAGGTAAATATTTGTCTGATAAATTTCCTATCCAGAATGGTCTAAAACAAGGAGATGCTTTATTGCCACTCCTTTTCAGCTTTGCCTTAGAATATGCAATTAGGAAGGTCCAGGGAAGCCAGGTGGGACTGAAACTAAATAGGACACATCAGCTGTTGGTCTATGTTGATGATGTGAATCTACTGGGTGATAATGTAGATACCATAAAGAAAAACACACAGACTTCAACTGACACAAGTAAAGAGGTTGGTCTAGAAGTAAACACAGAGAAAACTAAGTATATGTTACTGTCTCATCACCAAAATGCAGGGCAAAATCATGACATAAAGATAGGAAACAGATGTTTTGAAAAGGTGTCACAGTTCAGATATTTGGGAACAACGATAACAGATCGAAACCTGATTCAGGAGGAAATTAAGAGGCTACTGAACTCAGGTAATGCTTGCTATCATTCACTCCAGAACCTTTTGTCTTCTCATCTGTTGTCCAAAAACATAAAACTTAGAATATACAAAACTCTAATTTTGCCTGTGGTTCTGTATGAGTGTGAAACTTGGTCTCTGGCATTAAGGGAGGAACATAGACCTAGGGTGTTCGAGAACAGGGTATTGAGGAGACTATTTGGACTGAAGAGAGATGAAGTGACAGGAGGTTGGAGAAAACTGCATAATGAGTAGCTTCATAACTTGTACTCTTCTCCAAGTATAATTAGAATGATCAAGTCAAGGAGGATGAGGTGAGCAGGTCATGTAGCATGAATGAAGGAGACAAGGAATGAGTATAGGATATTGGTGGGAAAGCCAGAAGGAAAGAGACCACAGGGAAGACCAAGGCATAGGTGGGTGGACAATATTAAAATGGATCTTAGAGAGATAGGATGGTATGGTATGGATTGGATAGATCTGGCTCAGGAGAGGGACCAGTGGAGGGCTCTTGTGAACATGGTCATGAACCTTCGCGTTCCATAAAATGCTGGGAAATTCTTGAGTAGCTGCAGAATTGGCAGCTCCTCCAGAAGGGCTCAGATCCATGAGTAAGTAAATAAGTAAGTAAGTAAGTAAGTAAGTAATTAGAAACAGTTTCTGGTCAAATTTATTGAACTCAAATGCCAATTACTTTTTGAGAAAATTTTGTAACTACATTTTCTAAACAATTAAAGGATTCCATCTTAATTCGTGAAATGTTGTAATTATTGTTAACTAGTATGAAATCTCTTTTCTTTCATGCTTCTCTGGTTTGTCCCTATTCACAGTCACTTATAAGACACACAATTTTGCCAATATGATAAGATCCCTTGGATGGGTAATGAGCCAACTGTCAGGGTCAACTACCATTGAAGGTAACATAAATTAGAGAAGCAGCAATGCCAAGAGTGGGGTTCAAATTTTAGATAACATTGTTTGGTGTGCTCCCTAAATTCCAGTGCTAAGTGGGCTGGTTCAAAGTTTTCATTTTGTATCATATTTACCAACTGTCTCACAAGATTTTGTTTGAAAATGCTGTGATGTTAATACTTTGTGTCTATCTGAAAGAGCTAAGGCAGTAAAAACCTGGATATGGCCTGGTTAATTAGAGTTTGACTGGCAAAGACATAAATTTTCACATCATCACATAGTCCAGAGGGACTCAGGACTGACGTATTCTCCTGTCACAGAATTACCAAAGGCTCATTCTTCAGAGAAATCTAGTGCAGATATCTAGAATTTTTTTCACATTTGCCTTTACCTTTATGTGGCAGTGTGCCCCCTAGTGACCTATTGCTGCGGCTTGGAGAGCATGATCTCAGCTCCGAGGAGGAGCCTTATGGCTACCAGGAGAGGCGTGTGCAGATTGTGGCATCACATCCGCAGTTTGATGCCCGGACATTTGAGTATGACTTGGCCCTGCTGCGCTTCTATGAGCCAGTGACATTCCAACCAAATATCTTGCCAATTTGTGTGCCTCATGATGACACCAACTTCGTGGGTCACACGGCATATGTTACAGGCTGGGGCCGCTTATACGAGGGTGAGTGCCAGTATGAACCTACCTCCAACCTCCAACCTATGCACAGTGAATCAGTAGAGGACTATGACTGTCATGTTTCTCAGATCTAAATGTGTGTGTGATTTATATTTCAATGGACATTAAAGACAGAAATTTTATGGAAATAATGCCCATATTTTAGGGGCTTTGTAGATTAAAATCCAGAATATTCATCTAATCACAGGTGAACTTCAAGGTATGCTGCTGAATTGGTTACACACTGGGTGAACTATGTTTTAAGTTGGAGGATATTGCTTTTAGCAGTTATTGTATTATCAGTGTAAGAAAAATGCTGTCACTGAAAACCTTTTATGAATATGAAACATATTATGATATTCCTTCACTTTCAGATGGACCTCTGCCCAGTGTGCTTCAGGAAGTGTCTGTACCAGTAATAAACAACTCTGTCTGTGAAACTATGTACCGTTCTGCAGGATATATTGAACACATTCCTGAGATATTCATTTGTGCAGGCTGGAAGAAAGGTGGCTTTGATTCATGTGAGGTGAGCAATGAGGATTGAGAAAGTGTTTTAGCATTATCATGCACCTTCTGAGATGAGTTTATAAAGGCAATTGAACATAATTTTTTTATTAATTGGTGAGTGCCGGAAGGGGGACTGGGATCTCTCCCTTTAGAGGGTTACAGCTTATGAAACAGTGAAAGATTTTTCACTCAGGAGCTTTACATTTAAATCACAGACTTATAAATGCTTCAGTACTGCAGCTCAGTTATATGCATATTCTGACTTGACTAGTGTTTGAGCATATGACCATGTGGCATGGGTCCAGCATGCCAGTACAGAGCTATATTGTATTTTGTTGTTGAAGCATAAATTCACTTCCATACAGTACCACAGGGGTACCAGTGTAAAATGGAATTTCTTCCAGCATTACAGACTTCTCAAGCTGCATTCACAGATACTGAGTAAAATCTCCAGGTAGCTGAGTTCAAAATTCGGTTGATGCTTGTGGGATGAAGCAAACTGAAACATTTTCTTTAATGTCATCTTATTTTCTTTTCATATTACCATACCCTTCATCATACAACTTGACTTTCTTACATCCAGCTATCCAAAATGCAGAATTTGTTATCAACTCTTCTGGAAACTGTGTGGAACTAACTTATGTGAAACATTTTAGGGTGATTCTGGTGGACCCATGGTAATCCAGCGACCTGACAAGCGTTGGTTGCTGGCTGGTGTCATCTCATGGGGCATTGGCTGTGCAGAACCAAACCAACCAGGGGTCTACACACGCATCTCTGAATTCAGGGAATGGATCAACCAGATCCTCCAATTTTAGGCTTTCAAGATCTACAGATGATCCTAGGAGTCCAGCAGAATAATGATCATAATCAGCATTCCTGAGATAATAAAGTGATGATCTTCATCAAAGCAAATGCAACCAACAGGACATGGCATGGTCAACGCGAAATCATAATTGCAGGAATCCTAAATATATAGAATATTAAATGCTCTATAGACTGTAGTCTGAATTTGAGAATATGGTCTGTAGATCATTTAAAGTAACTGGGTTCTGCAATTCTAACATGGTCAATGCAAAGTCATGATAATAGGAATGCTGAATATCTAGGAACTTCTAAAAATGAAAATATCTGTGGCATATACAAACATGGTTGAACCAAAAATCATGGAGCAGTAGAGTGATCATTATAACACTGTGAACAGTTATAAACCAGAACTAGAGTCACAGAATTCCTTTATTGTCACAAGTAATAAAATATCATGGTCTCAAGTATTAATTCCAAGAATTTCTTTGAGATCATGGAGTACTATGAACATGAGAATGTTCTGATGAAAATCAACTGTTGTTATCACATATATTATCTTATATGTGAAAATTATAACAAACGTGCTTAATTTTGCATTGACTGTATTGTAATATGTATTAAGGCAGCTAAAAATCAACAAATTGAAATGTATGGTGGACACACTGGAAATTGTATGATTTGAATGATATGATCAGACAATTATGTGACAGAGAGAGACAGACAGACAGAGATGGACAAAGGGAAAGAGTGGCATGCATGACACTTTGATTACTGTATAGTTTAATAGCCTGGCCAATGAATATGATAGTAAACTGTTAGGTATGTAGGTAGACAGAATAAACAGCCAGGCAATGAGACTGAAAAATTGTAAATTGAGTAAGTCAAACAGTTGTCCTGGCTTCAAGATAAGATGCTTTGAGAGAAACTACAACATCCTTAAGCTGATATCAGCTGTAAGATAAGCATCAATGAAGTAATTCACACAATGAATTAAATTGAGTGAGGAAAGATATAAATCATGTTGACTCCAGTGCCATGATATGCTCAAAAAGCAAACTGCCATGAGGAAACTATATTCTTATGTCAGTCAGAGTGATCATAAAGCAACTGGAATTGTTACCATGATGATGGCACTGATCGAAGAAGACACAGTGGACTCCCAATTCAGTACTTCTGAAGTCAAGGTTTTCCCTCCTCCATATTTAATTCTACCAGTCACATCTACATCACATCTGTAGAGTTGCCTCCATTATTTAATGATTTTCACAATTCTAGTGTCCCCTAGAGATACATTACATGTGGATTTCACTGTACTTTGACTATGAAAAAAAAATATTCTTGACTGTGTTGGAAAATCTGTCTAAGTGAAGGATCCAATGAGTAAATTATTTTGTAGCAAATCATATAACAAACAAATACAAAATAAGAACAGAGGTGAAATTTTGTGTGACTTATACAAGAAAGGAAAAATGGGGCTGCTGATGCTTGTACGACTATGAACACAATGAAAATTAGTGGGTCTGAAAGTTGTGAGTGAATGAAAATTATTTATATTGTGAGATGAACATTTCTAGCTTTAGAGTGAATTGTAATGCAGGTGAATCTGTGAATTTGATGTCAGTACAAGTGATAATCTTTAGCTGTGGGACGCTACCTTTCTCATGCTGTTAAGTGTTTTATATATACATACATATATCATATTTTGTATAAATAAATAATTCCTTTCTAACTCTTGTTTGGGAAGAGACCCACATTCATGTGTGAAAGGTGTATACATTTGTTTTTCTGTCACATATGACACTTATGAAAGGTAATGCTCAGAATGTTTCAGTTTCGCAACATCCTGAGTCATCAATTTTATAGGTCTCCTTATTATAATTGTTGTATCTATAGCATGTTTTAAACATCAGCAGTTGATATGACATTACATGTCAAGGAATCACCAATTACCTTACACTTCTGAGTAAGAAACAGCTGGTATTCACCTGCATTCCTATACTGTACAACAGTCAAGAAGACCATAATCTGAACATTCACCACTGTGAAAACCTGACAGTATACGTGTATATATACGAGTACTATAAGAAGACTTCATCCCTTGATATTTTCAGGGTGTAAGTAATCAATCATCATTACTTTCCCCCTCCATTAAGAGATATGGCAGCATATGTTTGACAAAAATATTATTACTTAAAATGTGAGCCAGAATAGAAACTAGACTAAGGGTTGGATGGCTGAGCAGCTGGAGTTTGACTCCAAGCAGTAACAAGAGATTTCTTTCTTCTCCATAACATCTTATGACCCATCCAGCCTCCTATACAGTGGGTACCAGGGTCTGTTTCTCTGGGGATGAAAGCCATCAGAGTCATGAATCTGATCACTCACCACTATCTACTACCAAGGCTAAGTATGACAGCGCTATTTCTCCATTCATGGTGTGGTGCTTAATTAATTCAAGTCCAAGGATAACCTTATTTTTTACCTTTAAATGTGAAAATATATCCTCATTATCAAATATTTACTCCCTGTAGGACAGTAAAGGAACAGTAATATATGAAGGTAAGCAGAAGAATGAACAAAAAATAAATTAATTTTACCAGTTTTAGTTACTGCCTTCAGGATATTCTATCCCTGCCACATCGCTTTTATTCCTGTTACCTGGAATCACATCTTAGTTAAACTGGTAATAGAAGCATATCTGATTAACAAAATATGTGTGGCCTCTTACAGCAAGTGACATGCTTGAATTTTCATATACTTTGCACAATAACTTAAAATGAACAATATTCTATATTTAAAATATCTTTGAGGCAGTGTCATCATAATATAATAACATAAATCATTATATCATCATTAGAAAGTTACTAGATTCTACTCTTTTTCATGTCTCATTTTGTTAAGTATACAGCACATTTACAGACATTTGAAATACATGTAGATTTAATGACTTCATGTTTCATCATGCAGCAATTTTTTATACAGTGAGTCACTTGTTATTAACTAATTAATTTATTAAGTTCAGCTGTATATTTGTGGGCTATATATTTGGATAACACAGATAAACATTTAATATAGACCCCCATTTGTGTTGCCAACTTAATTAAACCAAAACTGGATATTTTCTCTTCCCTCCTTAAATATCTGTGTAACGTATTCTATATTAATAGTAGCTTTCCGGGCTTTGACCCCAGAACGATTTATTTCGCCATTTGGAAAGCACTTGGATAAGATTCATTAGTAATTCTGAAGCATTTAAAATTATTGCAATTATTTGAAACAAAAATCATTATTAGAGCTTTCATTTGCTGTGTAAGTTGGAAACAAATTCTTCAGTCACACTGTATGTGAGCTTCAGTGGAACTCAATGAAGTTAAAGGAAGATGTTTTAATTCACAGGACAACTGTCTGAGTCATGTTGAAATATACTATTTATAAATATCAACAACCAGGCCATAAGTAAAAGATATGTAATGATGCTGGCCAATACTATGGTATACCAACATAGTTTGTTCCTCCTCTCCATCTTAACAAATTTGGCAAGTTCTTTTCCACTCACATTCCACAAAATTTGCAGATTCTGTGGTTTACATATTATAATTTGAATGCACCCACAGTTGGCTCTTACTGTTTCAACTATTAGACAGCTCCTTTATTTTTCAAAGTGTTATGCATAACACTGAACACTTGCTCCATGAAAGCATTTGATGGTGGTGTGTCTTGAAGATGTTTAACAGTTTTGAACAAAGAAGGTGTCTTTTGCATGACTTAAAAAATTAACCCTAATATTAGAATATTTTTTTTATCACTTTCTCTTTTCTCAGAATGACGTTCTGAAGCACATGGTTCAGGTTCTCCTTAAATAAATGGCAAAACTTCATTCAAATCACAAATCTTCAAAATCAATTTTGTTGCTAGCAACTTCCACTCTCTACAAATTCAGTAACCCAAGCATGGAATCCATATTGGCATATTTTAGGAGGCACAAAGTTTATAGAGGCTGAGGGTGTTTGCAAACAGGGTGTTGAAAATATCTGGATAAAAGAGAGGTGAAGTGATGGGAGGTTGGAGAAAACTGCATAATGAGGAGCTTCATAACTTGTACTCTTCCCCAAGTATAATTATAATGATCAAGTCAAGGAGGATGAGATGGGCATGGCATGTAGCATGAATGGGGAGAAGAGGAATGCATATAGGATACTGGTGGGAAGGTTAGAAGGAAAGAGACCACTATGAAGACCAAGATGTAGGTGGGTGAAAAAATATTAAAATGGATCTTACAGACATGGATGGCATAGATTGGATTGATCTAGCTCTTGATAGGAACCAGAGGAAGGCTCTTGTGAACATTATAATGAATCTTCGGGTTTCATAAAATGCCGGGAAGTTCTTGAATAGTTGCACAATTGGCGGTTTCTCAAGAAATGCTCAGCTCCATGAGTGAGTGACAGAGTTTATAGAAAGATTCTTTTGTGAAATCATACCATTTTTCAAGACAGTCTAGAATTTGCATGTACATCTGCTGGGAATTTTGAATGAAAGTTTCTGTTCTTGTGGAGGAATTTTCTTCAAATGCTGTAATACTGGAATCCATAGAAATTCTTCACCTGCCTGTTGACAAAATTAATTTATTAGTTTACTGAAGGCTAAGTTTATTTCAGTGACTTGTATGTCATTACTTTCTACTTGTTTCATGCATACACTGAACAGATTAAAGACATCATGAAAATGTACAAGTATAGTTTTGGAATAATTAGTTCATCAGCAACCTCACAGTCATTTTCATAATCAACATATGTTCACATCACTCTGCTCACCATGTGTTGTTCACCTTGGCTCAAGAAATAAGGACTGTATTCCTGTCCAGGCCTTAAGTTTCCTGTCCAGAGAAGCAGACAAACTGAAGGACAGAATATTCATTTTCCAGAAATATGAAAATTTTTTTTCAATTATTCAATTTTCTTTGCACTTCCCACAATAAAATATCTGCACATAATGCAACTCTTTTCTCGACAGATCTAGTTCAGAGATAATATCTTTAATCTTATGAGGAATCATCCGGGTGTTTTATCTGAATCTTCGCAGAAATATAAATTGCTCGAATTATAACCAGAGTGCAAATCTAGAGTTGTACCCCTACACAATCAATGAATTATCTTGATCTCAGTTTTAAAGCAAGTGTGTGATAGGTTTTCAGCATGCAAATGTATCTCTCCCTACTCTCCACTCCCGGCCCACTCTCCTTCTCCTCCTTAATCTAAGTCCCAGATTTTCTATCGAAAAACTTAGTCACCTAGCTACACAAAATGCAAGCGCTTATTATTACAGTGACGCGTTACATATGATGCTGCTTTCAACTGTAGCGGGCATGGCTTACCAACATAATAGCGGGACAGTCGAAGTCTAAGAGGCAGCAACTACATAGCAGTAACAACTTTGTTCCGCTAGAGGTCAGCAGTGTTACTGAAGGCCGGATGGGCATGCCTAGGCCATTTTTGTATTTACAATATTTTTTCTGCAATTAAAAAAAAAAGAGGTCAGCAGTAGCAAATATTCACAGAGGGTCAACTTGCATATGCCTTCTAGGCAATCACGACCGATCATGCCCATGTTTATACTATTGTCTACCTACCTACCTATGGCCCTATAGCCCTTGTGGACCTTGGCGGGTTTTTCAGTTTCTTAACCTATACACAGTCGGTAGGTTGGACGGGGAATCAGCCAGTCGCAAGACCACTACCTACACACAGAACAACGTAAATACAAAATAAATACACACAGATACCCATGCCCTGAGTTGGATTCGAATCCACGATTCCAATGGTCGAGAGGGGAGAAAAGGGTTATTCCTTATATCGCGCGACCATTATGATCGGCTTTATACTATTGTACCGATTGCACCCATACAAAACCCCAAACTAAAGTACTAACCCATCACACTGTAATGAAAACAAAGTTCGCCTAACGTAAATTTCGTACAATGGTCAATTTTCTTGTACCTTAAAATTGTGAGAGATATTAAACGGTGAATTCTGTTGTACCATACGAGAGCCGTAACTAAAGTATTGTCCTAAATTAATGAAAACTAACTCACCTACATATCTTTGGCCAAAGCCAAGTACTTCAAAATGCTGAGATGTTTAACCATAACCTACCCTCTGGTTTATTCGATAAGTAATTTTGTTATCGATGTATTAGGATTTTATTTTGCGTTCTGGTGACCATATATAAACCTGTACATGTGTAAATAATCAAGCAGCTACATGTAGCAGGGCCTTTCTTGAAAATGTGATGGTATTTCAGTAGCTTTGGTAGTTGATAACATTTCAGTACCTGTTGGCCTCTGAATCGTTCACAGTGGAATACTGTTTTCCAGGATTCAGCAGTAGGACACGCAGTATGATAATGTGGGTTATGTAAATCATTCAAGTAATATTCGTCCCACATTCAAGCTATAGTTGTGACGTCATCGGGGTCAAGTATTTGCCTTGCCTAGTTTCAAGCATCATCATCATCTCGTAACCGGGTTGGACACAACATAAATTCCACATAAAAAGTAAATAGCAATTGTCACACTCCACCGAGCCGGAAAGTAGTTATGATATTCTGTGGGAACATTTGGACAGGCGGACAGGTGGACGGGTTTCTCACCGAGTTCCTGGAGAATCGCTTTCAAGGACACTATCAATGTAGTCCCACGGCGGAGCTCTTCCAGCCGGGAGGAACTGGATTTCATGTCATCGAAGGTCTCCATATACGAAGAACAGCTCCGTGGATGCTCATTGCTCAGAGGTAAAATATTACATATTCTTGATGTCGCTGCTAGACAAATTTACGATCACTCTCAGGACAGATTCTCTTTCTGAACACAGAAAAGGGCCCAGACATCCTTAAATAAATCGTGTCGGTTTGGACTTCGTGGTGAGGGGAAAAATTAGTGTCTGAGATGGTAAAGGAACCATTGGTCCTCAGCTCATAGGCACTTGATGTTCTATTATCCTTACCATTTTTATATGGGGGTACGAGGTAGCGTAGTTGGTTGAGGCAGCATGCTACAAGCCGGAAGGCCGCGAGTTCGAGTCCCGATGAAGTGATTTTTTTTCACTTTACCTAATCCTTCCAACCCCACTATGGTCCTGGGGTCGACTCAGCCTCTAAAAGGAATGAGTACCAGGAATCTTCCTGGTGGCTAAATGGCGGCCGGAGCTTAAGCCTGACAACACTACCACCATATGTGATCCGATTGTCTAGAGAAAATGTGAGAGCCTCGACGTCTCACAACCTTATGGGCCTTCACGCCTATTACAGGGACAGCTTTAACTTTAACATCATTATATATTTTGTTATGATTTTTCTACGTTAACCACCACTGCCCGATTTCAGCATCAACTAGTCGTTCTGTATTTCCACCTTGCATAATCCGAATTATTGACAGCGTCCTGAAATATACGAAGAAAGAATACAACCAGACAGAGCAAAATTAAAATCATTTTCCAAACTTAAAATTAGGGAAGTTTCAAGAAAGAGTTTTCAGATGTTTCCAGGCATTTGCTTTTGCTAGTCTCACATTAAATAAACATCCTAAAGCTCTCCCCGTAACGAATTATGATCATCAGCACACTCCACTCGATGTAACCCGCGTTATCAAGCAAGTCAGCTCAGCGATGTGGCCCATAAACAATCTCCTACAGCAGGTGCTAGTCCTAAAATCCTTTCCAATTCAATATTCATAAGAGTCTTATAACATTCGAGACTTGTACAGTTGATACAGCGTCAGTTACGAGACAGAGATCTAACCGGTCAGAGTGGCGAAAAGGATTTCTGTTCAGGATTCTCGATCCCTTTGACCCTCACCCAGGATCAAACCTAGGTCCTGTACTGCTGTTGCACGAAGCTGACATCGAGGTGAGAATGGGCGAGTCCCACCTGACATTCTGAAACTGGGTAACATCCATATCTCACAGAGCTGTGTCAACACAGGCTAAGCAGCTGTAATGTGGCGACCGCTGTTCACCCAGACATAGAATAGGCTATGGCCACTTCCTTCTAATACTCGGGCCCTCTTGCAAGATTGCGTTACAAGAGCGTAGGATTTGTGGTTCCCACGGCGAGGATTGCTTGGTTTACATTTCGACCCTGAATATGGAGGCAACATGTTGCTCCGAAACCTTTCATCAGACTACACATGATTATATCCCAGAAGATAAAATTATTATCCTAAGTTTATTCAAAAGTAGTCCTACAGTAGAAATTTATTTTGAACAATTACATAATTAGGTCATAAATTTAAAGTAATTTACATTAAAATTAGTGGCAAAGGATGACGGCGAAAATATAATAACATGATACTTGCACCACGTGAGAACTTCTGCACACCTCTTTAATGGCATAAAGTGTGGACAGTTTTGTATTAGGTCCGCTTACTATGTTTAACTTAACAATTACGTATAGATGTGTACTTTGTAAGATATGCATAAGGAGTAAGAGGCAATTAGCATTGTTTGTTATTTGTCCATGCAATGTATCGCGACCCGGGTTTGTTCTCAGGCAGGCTCATGTGAGATTTATTGTGGACATATTAACAATGGGTCAGGTTTTCTCAAAGTATCTCGGATTCCTCTGTTAGTTTCCATTCTACCAAGTGACATATAGTCATTTAGACGCAACATAGTCTCAATATTGATGCTGTCATTAAGTAACAAACTATTTGTCGTTAAAACATGCTACACCAAGACTTGTATTTCCTGTAATTAGCTATGCTTTTGTCTTAGAATGACTTACATGTTGAATTGTTGGTGGTAAAATTTCATGTGGGGCTTTCGAGTCCACAGAGGAAAACGAAAATAAATTCCATTTAGTTTCAGTTAATAGTCTTCTGCGATTTTTACGGCAGTAGGAATTAAGGTAAGATTAGGCAATAGAAAATTTATGTTTTAGGTGGAATCTGCCTTGGTCTAATGATGATTAGAACATTTACGAGGGACGGTGGGCTCTTCACCAGATAGTTTATGACTTATTTATTCATTTCAGAAATTGGACGCATATAAATTATGTTAGACATAAATTTATACTGTCATTTATTTGGGTGACTGAGACGCTGGTTCGGATTGGTAATTGGATTTATCAACAACCTACATGTCGTAACTACAAATAAGTATTTCACTCTTGTTGATTTACACAATTAACAATCACTTCACATTAATGTTCTCAGTTTACTTCCACTAGTCTTCACTATCCGTTTTCTGGCAATGGGTTTATAACACGGGAATTGTAAAAGTCTCATTAAATTACACACTCCCAGTCCCACTGCCCTATATCACACATAAGGTCTTCAATTCACAAGTTAACTATTTTTCAAATATGAACTTCCCGTGGATGTTAACTACTGAGAATTGTACTGTAGCGCCAATGGTCTTCAGTATAACTCCTCTGCACGGATCCCACGGAAAACACCGTCTCCCATTGTTGTGGATACGTGTTTACCGCTGCGTTGCCTGGCAACGTGCTTTTGCTCGGTGCGAACAGCGTAGAGAACATAGTTTCCCTTCTACTGTTAAGGTTTCCTTACCGAGCCGTTGCTCAGCAACGTGTTGATCAAATCCGTTACATTGCTTCCTCCTTAAGGCTCTTCGTCGCGAATAACTTGACGGTGCATGACCTTTCATTCCTTTCCGGAGGTTGCGCTTTTAACGTCTTATTGTAAATTGTTCTTTTCTTTTCTTCCTTGCTGACTACTCTTCAACCGCTAAATCCGCTCCCTTCTTAAGGGCGGTCATTCAGAACAGCTGCCTGATATGGTGCCAACCGGTTCAGATTCTTACCATAATCCAAAGTTCTCTTCTCTCTCTCTCCCTCTTTCTCTCTCACAACAGTGGGGCCCCGTAACTCCTAGTGCGACGGGTGCTCCCCTAAATCCAGCTTCTCTTATGCTAATGCCGCCTCTTTTCCCGCCTATATTAGGCAATCTTGATTGTAGTATCTCATTGATATTTCATTCAGCATTATAAGACTAAATGTAAATTTCTTTCAGTAAATCGGCCCACTTTATTGCTTCAAAATTAACAAACTTTTACGTAACACAAAGTATATTTCCTGAGACCCTGAGAACAGTGCACCAGTTTTCTCATAAACTTGGATTATGGCGTTACTTGACGGCTTGCATTTGCTCTGACCGCAGTATCTGATAATAGCTGACGCAGTATTTCGTAGTCTCAATTTAAATACAGCTTTCTTTTAAGATATTTTCATCTCGCAGTGTGCAAATTCAGTGAAATCGTGTAACGTATAAGAGTGGATTAGAGTGATCTAAATAAAATGTGAACCAAGTGGACTCGTAAAGACTATAAACACAATGAAATCCCTCTGAAATTCCGAAAGTCTGCATGCACGTATATCTCTAAGTTTTAAGTCGCGTCCACATTACTCCTGCTCGTGCTCGTGTGACTCACTATGCTCGCGAGTAATGTGGACTATATGACAAGTCACGAGAGAAGCAAATTTTTAATTTTTAATTTAAAAACTATAGCCAATGAATTAAAATACGACTACAGCCTATACACACTACGAGCAAATATACGGATCCTCACGCGCAGAAGCCTGGCGAGCAACTGAAATAGTGTGGACGAAGATTTTTCTAGCACAAGTAAAAGCCAGACGAGTCTCCCGACGAGCACAAGCCTGGCGAGCACGAGCACGAGCACGAGTAATGTGGACGCGTCTTTACATGCAACCACCGTCTCCCGAAAGCTGATGAAGTCCTCCATTCAAGAAGAAAACTTAACAAAGTTTCCTGTAGCCTACAGCCAGGCGTGTATGTAAGCATAATACAATTAGAATAAAGTGGACAGTACTGCTACACCGTACACCGACTAATGTTACCTGGGCAAACAACATAACAGGAACTACTACTGTTGTTAGCAAGTCTTCATGCAGACTTTCAGTAGCAAACATTTCTCTAATAACTTCCTAATTATAATCGATTTTTATGTCAAGTGAAATGTAATGATGATTACGCAAGTTATATTTCCTGTAATTATTTGTCTATATTTTAGCACTAATCTACAAAAGAGGAAGAGTGTAGAATCAATTATGTCTTTTCCATATTTACAAGAAACTGCGAGTCAATATTATGGCCAAGACAAAAGACTTCAGTCTAGATTAAGACAGCAGGCTTACGGCAGCTTTCACCCACCAACACAATATTTATTTTAATCTTTGTTTCGTTACACATTGATAGCTGACGATGGTGTTAATCCATGCAAACTTTAACTACAGAGTTGTCACCACAATTAAATTCTGCAGATAAAACCGTGTTTGTAAACAGTCAAATGATTGCAGTAAAAGGACGCCATTTGACGCGACTAACCACTAATCAGTGTCTCAATGACGCTACACGGACTGAAGAACATACGGCACTGTGTGTGCGTACTATATTATTACTTAGCTCGTGGTTGCTTATCATTTAGTCGAGGAAGTAGACAGCGTGAGTCTCGTTTTCGGTAAGGAAAGAATTGAAGAGACAGTGACGTACAGGAAGACTAGAGAGAGAGGGGGGGAAAAAAAGAAAGGAATAAAGAAGTCGCGGCGTGGATCTGCTGTCTCTTCTGCGTGACCCAGATCTGCCGCCTCCTTCACCCAGTTACCTGGTCCACACCGCAAACTGTCAGTGGGCCCCTGAACTTGGCCGCGGACAGACATTGCGCAAGGAGTAAGGGCACGTGTGCAGATGCGACACAGCCGGAAAGAAGTTCAGATACGAGACGGGCTGCTAGGATATTCTCACCACCACCGGTAAGAAACAGCTCAGCCAATGTAGAAGTGCTGTTGTTTATATTAAGCCACACGTGAGCAAGTGAAGCTAAGTAGTGAACAGTCTGTTTCCCCCCCCCCNTGGATCTGAAACATGCAGTAGCTTACTAAATGGGAAAGTAAATATTACAAATACTTTTATAATTTATTTTTTGATATATGTAGATACAGAGATATATTTTAATGAACTTTAAAATAGAAAGTAGGCCACTGGAAATCGGCGACGGGTCTTTCCTCAATGGCCAACGAATTTTAGCTCAGAACGTAAAGCATTACACAAACGTAAGTTAATATATCATTTGTATTTTATTTCCTACTATGCACTAAATGTTTCGACAGAAAGCGTGTATCATCAGGCGATGTATATAAATCGGTCACATGTATGTAGGTTGCGAATACAAAGTCTTAATGTGTGCATATGCGTAAAATGTGGTTAGAATTGTAATGAATCGTGTTGGATCCGACATAATTTGACTAAGTGAATGCAAATATGGCGGCTTTTATAGAGTTCTATCTTGGATATAATGCCAAGTAGTCCTTTGAATATCAACTGACGTTTCGGGGAAAAATATCGGCCCTAGCTTTGAAGAAAACGCCTAGCAAGAAACCATCATGTAACAGGTAGCGAGCGGAGCAACGTCTGTCGATTTCGAATGGAATAAACAATGTTATACCCCAGAATATAGAATTCTTCATAACCGCCACTATGGGAACTTCAAGTTCTTAGCAGTGTTTGTCCAGGTATAAAAGCTATCTGAAGTTTGAAGACTTGTGATGTAAGTGTGTGTGAGGGTTCCGTTTATGACTTTAAGGTAACATAAAGGAGATGTAATATTATACAAAGAGTAACCAATGCATGATTGTAGGCTCCCTGCAAATTCAGATCACCAACTGAAGACGCACAGATTGGAATAATTTTAAAATATGGTGACTTCTTTAGCCAGACTTCTGCGATGTTTAAAGTCAGATTTCAAGAAGAAATAGTTTTTACACATAGTTAATGCATGTTGTCGACTAAGCCTCTAACAGAATTGAGTACCAGGAATCTTCTTGAGGGTAATGGGAGGCCGCCACGTAAAGCTGATCACCTCACCGTCATGTGTGAGCCGTTTGTCTAGAAAATGTGGGAGCCTCGACGTCTCACAACCCTATAAGTCTCTACGGCCTCTTACATGGATAGCTTTACCTCTTTCTTACTTTAGAAATGTAGACGCCGACCTGCAAATATTGTTGTTGACAACATCAAAACTTTGTGTAAGCAAAGACTAGAAAGTCACGTTACGGAAGTTCGAAGGCAGATATCAGCTACAGATAAGGTTTTCAGGATTGCATATGCAAAGAAAGTCTAGCGTTACTCTCCCGTAACCGTTTTTGGGATTATGGCTGTCCGTCCATCTTCTCCCAGACGCTAAATGGCATCTTCATTATAGGACATCTGGCTTTCTGAACATCAAGAGAGCTCTTCTTAGCTTCGTTATGTTTTCATTATTATTTTAACCACGACATTATGCATTTCTACTTTTTAACAAATTTGTATTTCCAGCCTACGTATATTTGGCTTATTTCTCTACTTCACTTGCTGATGACCATTTACGGCCAAAACATTTAGCAAATTAGTAAGAAATATAAAGCCGGTCACGGTAGCCGAGCGGTCTAAGGCATGCACTCTCTTCGCTCGCTCGGAAGCCGGGATCGTGGGTTCGAATCCCACTCAGGGCATGGATGTTTAGTGTCTGTATGTGTGTGTGTGCTTTACTCTGTGTTTGTGTACAGGTAGGGGTCTTGCGACGAGCTGATCACCCGCCCAAGGAGTCCTACCAAATATCTAAGATCTAGTAAACCGACGTGAAACAGAGAGTTCATGGAGGTAGGCCGAGGCACAAATTTGCGCTGTAGCGCAAAAAAAATGTATATGAAAAATTGTTTAATGTGAGATTAGTGACTATAGATGATATTTCTTAATTATACTGATAGAATTATTTAATTACTCAGAATATTGACATTAGGATTCCAGTGGTAATTTTGCTACTTTGGATTTCCTCTGGTAATTTTGTTTTGCAATGTATCAATTTGGTAGGATATTTTCCGCCTTCCGCTGTATATTTATACCTGTTCTTCTGAATTCCTTTTATCTCGCTAAGTATATATTTATTTGTGTATGGATTGGCCTATCTGAATGAATAATAGCTTTAGAGCTAAGACAATATTTGACCCAAGATCAGAAAGGAAAAAGAGGAATTGGAACACCTAAATCGAGATGGGGGATTGTGTGGGTCAGGAGGTCAGATTTGTATGGGGAGAGTAACTAGACGAGAATAATTGAAGAAGCCTGGCATTAAATAGGAAAGAGTGGAAGCAATATTTGAAAGAATCCCAAGATGCACACAGGGGCCTAGAGCCAATGATGATGTATCCGTATCTCTTTTAGTATAACAAGACAAGTCCACTTACTAATATTAGGAACTTTACGTGAGGTGTCTCTCTCTTTTTCTCAAGTTGGATCGGTGCATTTTCTACGTGTCATAACTAAGCTTATAGTTCAACATAGGCATTGCTTACGGGCTGGACGTTAGAAGGGTAAGAGTTCGAGTCCCTGTAGGGCCAAGAATTTTTTACACCTCGTCCAGACCGACTCTGGGGCCCACCCAGCCTCCTATCCAATGGGTACGGGGTCACTTTCTCCGAGGGTAAAGCAACCTAGGGGTGAAGCTGACCCCTCACCTCCAACTATTGCCGAGGTCAAGAAAAGTGGATCTGTACATCCACTCCCCAAACGTCTTCATTGTGTAGTGCTTCATTAGTTAAGCACAGGGACAACTTTACCTTACAATTTAATATTGTTTTCTGAAGGTCCTAATTGACCGAGTTTCGTGAAACTTTCGCTGCGTGTTGCTGGAATTCTCCCGATCGTGGTACTTTCCAAGTTCCTGTCTCCAAAGGTACCAAAATGCTCTGCGACGCAGCGAGTTGAGGACATTGTAGTGCCCGAGCTTTGTGTGAAGGTGAACAGCTTGCAAGTTGTATTAAAGTATTTCTGTGCAAGGTGAAGAATAACATGACATTTCCAGTTATTTTATCTAATGATGAATTGTTGTAACACGACGTCATCATCATCATATTTTGTCACGGAGTTAGACACTGTCACTGTTGCTGGTTTCGGCCTCATCTTGCGCGTCATCCAGTAATTTTATTTAATTTGGTGTTCATGTTGTCTTCCTGTCAGACTGGATTTCAGGATTTGTTTTGTAAACCTGGAGGCTTGAATTTGGTGGATGTGTTGCAAAGAATTATTTTTAAATCCGTCAGGTTTTTCTTATAAAGACTGGAATTTGAGTGGTCTGGAACACATTCAATTATCTTCTGGTTAGGAGAATATTTAGGCCCCAGAAGATGAAGTAATAGGAGGCTGGAGAAAATTCTATAATGAGGAGCTTCATAACTTGCATTCCTCGCCAAATATTACTGGCATTATCAAGTCTAGGAGGATGAGGTGGGCAGGGCATGCAGCTCGCGTGGGATAGGACTGCATACAACGTTTTGATTGGAACACATTAAGAAAAGAGGCAATTAGGGAGACCTATACGTTGACGGAGAGGCAATATTGTAACGTGGATAGCGAGACTGTTGCGAGGTAACGGACCGGTAAACTCCCCGCAACCGAATACACAAAAGGCACCAATTGAACGAGTATCTCAGTGGAGGAATATTATTGCACGTTGCTAGGCTACAGCGCACTAATGAAGACGATGGCTAGGAATCACGTGACTTGTTATGTGTGTGGTCTTCCTTATGCAACAGTAGAAGTGGGTTTCCTGTGCGTGGTCCGTACGGCAGCATATTCAAAAGAGAGACCCGTCCTCTCGTCAGAGAGGACGCCCCACAAAAAGACAAGATATTGACTGTCAAACAGTAATAAATAACTGGTCATGAGCCCCAAATGGGCTCAAAATCAAGACTTACTGACTGACTGACTGACTGACCGTCAGTCGCAATTTGACTTTGACTTTGAGCGTTCATTTGAGTTCTCGGTAGGAGATATCCACGGGAAGTTCGCAGAAGACCTGTGAATACTCTGTGTGTTATAATTACAGTAATCTTGAAAGTGTTACAATTATTTGTAGTTGCGACTAGCGAAGATCAAGAACAGCGCCGTAGACACTCAGACACAGAACAATATTAAAATTAATCATAGAGAAATATAATGGAGTATGTGGACTGTATTAATCGAGTTCAGGACAAAGATCCCTGGCGGGTTCTTGCAAATGCCGTATCGAACCTTCGGGTTCCATAGACCTCTGGGTTGTTCTTGAGTGGCTGAGAGGCTGTTGAATTCTGAAGAACTCAGCTCCATGAAGTAAATTAGTTCCTTTCTCGCAAAGAACATTTCACTCTGAGCTCTTAGTCTATTTTCGAAACATCATACTGCTCAAATTTCATTCCGTACAGGAAGGAAAGAAGAGAGAATATTTTGTACAATTGAACGGGGTCTACTCAGCCTCGTGAGGATAATTGAGGAGCTACTTGAATGTAAATAGCGGCACCGGTCTAGAAAACCGAGTTTAATTGCCGTGGGGATCCGTTGCGCTGCCCAAGTGACACCCTCTCTCCGCTAAATTTGCCACTAACTTCGCCTGCAAGCGGTGATCGCTCGGTCGATATAGTTCGCTTGCGGACTAAAACTACGGAGTTTTTTTGTAATATTAAGCTCTTTTATACCGTCTTGTGACTTAGAATATGAAATTTAAATTGTGAAAACGTTTTATGCACATGATCAACAAAATTTCTTAGTTAGAAGCCAATAACATTATCCACGACCCTTGCACCACAAGGGAATGCACTGAAGTAACATTTTCCCACAATTTTAACCGCGAAGGATGTAACATAGCTTTACCTCTTCCATATCCATCACTGCTTCATCCAGCAATGAGAGAACTCCCTCTCTTATGCAAGTGGGTCTAAGAAATAGAAGGAAGAGAAGAAGA